TGCCAGAGCAGCCACTGCCCAAGAGCTGGTGGCACAAACAGGCGAAAGAGGGGAGAAAAATCAAAGGGAATTTGAGGACTTCAGAGGCTGGTGACAGGACCAGCAATGCAGAGTGACACTGGGTGTTCAGGGAACAGACTCTGTGTGTGTGACAGCCCTACAGGCACTTCCTGCAGGGATTTTGGCTTTGCTGTGCTGGTGCCCACAACAGGGAGCAAGGTGTCCCCTTCAGGCACTGCAGGTGCTGCTGTGCATGTGTGGGTTTTGCTGCTGGGAGGTCAAAGGGACCTACCTGAGGACAAGATGGCAATGCAACACCAGAGGAATGGCAGCCCTGGGCTTGCTGGAGAGCAGGTGGCAGGAGGGAGAAGCTCTGGGCAAGAAAACCATATTGATCAGAAAGGCTTGGTGTTTTTAAAGGATTTGGGATGGGTGTTTTGGGAATGAGTCTGCCCTGGGTTGTGCTGCAATCCAGTTTCCCCATGCTGGTGTGGTGGATGGGGCTCCTGTAGACAGAGCAGCCAGGTGTTCTGTTTTCCCTTAGTGTAAAAGTTCCAAATTGATGGGATAATAAGATGGTGTGAACCTCTGAGCAGGCTTCCCAAAACCACAGATGCTTTGCCTTTTTTTTTTTTTCCTTTTCTTTATGAAAAAAATCTTCTTTGGAAGCGTTTCCTAAACCAAATGCAATAGTTGAGGTTTTTCTCGTGGAGCTGGGGAAGAGCATTCCCAGCAGCAGCAGCACAAGGAGCAAGCTCCAAACTGATTTATGATGCAGGCAGCTGCAGAGGCGTCCCTTGGCTGACTGAGAAGGTTTTTGGTCGCCACTAGATGTCCTCTCAGCCCTGCTTTCCCCGCTGCTCCCTCGGAGCAGTCACCTGGGCTGGATTTGACGGCCGAAGAGCTGCTGGACCCCGGAGTGCTGGTGAGGGAAAGGAAGGGGCCTGAATGTCAGGCTGCTGAGGCCTCCCAGGCATCCTTCTGATCTCCCTGGCTTTGCCTCAAGCACTGCTGGCTCAGAGAAATGCTCCAAACCCGACTTCTGGATCTGTATGTACTGGATATGAAATACTTTAATACCTGTAGCATGGCTCAGGGCCTGTGGCTGTAGCACTGGAGGATGGCAGAGGTGCTGGCCCAAGGGGAAGCCTTGGAGGGTAAAAAGGATTGTGACCCCATTTAATTCAGGTGTTCAGCTTTCTCTGAAAGTATGAAACTGTAATTCAAATATCTTTGCAGGCATATTCCACAGAGATGCAGGTATGTGTTGTCAGAAAGCACAGCCAAATATTTTGTGAGATTTTCCAAGTTGCCTGGATGCCCAGGATTTTGAAAACAATTCATATTTCTGTAAGGTGTGTATTGATATCTACAAGCACCTGGAGCTGCTTGCAAATGCAGCTGCATCCTCTGTCTCTCAGGCAATGGCAATCCCTGCTGCTATTCTGGGTAAAGGAATTAGAGGAGATATTTGCCAGAAGTGTGTGCTGGTTACAAGGATAGCTGGAGGCTCATGGGGTGCAGCCTTTCTAGGCAAACAAGGAGTTTCCAGGAAACACTTGGCTCTTTGTGGCTTAGGATCAGAGGGAAATCAATGACTAACAGACACAGAGTTACTGATGGAGCAAACCCAGAGTTAGTGAGCACTGCAAACAGCAATCCTCAAAAATACCTGGATTTCCAGTTGTGGCCATGCACACCCCAACCCACTGAAGGGAACAAACTGAACAACAAATCCCAGCATGAGTGCCAGACCCACAGAATGCCCTGGCACGGCCTTGGTGCAGTCAGGGCTTTCCATGGGCTCTCCATCCTCCTGGATCTCAAGCCCAAACCCAGCCCTAAACATCCTATCTTTTCCCAAAGGTGCTGAAACAACCAGGAATAAACGAGGTATTCAGATGCTGGGCACATCTGGATTTCAGTGCTTCAATTTTGAAAACTGGCTTTGGAGGAAAAATACCCCAAATGTGACTGGAGCTTCATTTGACTTAAGGGAAGTGTGTTTGGAGAGTGCAAGGGCCTTGTATAAAGTCTGGGCTTGTAGAAAACCTGTTAAGTGATGTCAGGGTGCACAGGGGCCCCTTACCCCTGAACAGGCACAGCTCCCTGGCTCTGATTCCCACTGGGATGGTGAATTCTGGGGATGGTAACTTTTTTATTCACATTTGTTCCTATTCTCTGGAAATATGGGCCCAGAAGGGACCCAGCTCTGCTGTTGAACTAGCTCAGAGAGCATTTGTGTTGCTGTAACACTGCCTTCAACTTCCCCCTCAGGTCCCAGGGGTGACCAGTGCAGACCCCCAGCCCCAACAATGACTTTACCATGGATCCCCACGTTTGCTCCCACAGCCCTGATAAAACCTTGTGGGTGTGGAACCACCACTTCCACCACATGGATGTGCTCAGGACATGTGTGTGACTGTCTGGTGTGGCCTTGTGCCTTGATTTAGGGAGCCTGTGGGAGCTGGGGCACAGCAGGACCTGCTGAGAGCACCGAGCAACCATCGCTTCTTAATAAACTCTTTTGGCCATTGCTGACCTCAACCATATATGAACAAGTGAAAAGCAAGTGGTGAAAGGCTCTGTGTAACATTACTAATCCCATGCAGTGCTCTCACTGGAAAGGCCAGGCAGGGCTCCCTGCTATTGTGTCCTGTCCCTGCAGCTGCTTGGGTGAGCCTGTGCCTTTCTTAACATAAAATCTGATGGACTGGTTTGGAAGGGGTGCAGCCCTTGGGTAGCCAGGGGAAGGATGGGCTGTGTGGGCAGCTCTCCAGTGCAGGCTTGGTGCTCCTGCAGAGTGCCAGGGAGCAGATTTGCAGAGGATTTCCCGTTGCCTGCTGCCCTCTTTGGAGGCTCTGGGATGGGTTCACATGCTTGTGGTGCAGCAAGTAAAGGAGCTCTGGGGTCTGTGTGTCCTGCTCCTGTACCCCAGGATTCAGCAAGGCTCCCGCTTCCCTTGCAAGTGTTCAGGCTCCTAGGAAGGTGAATTGGTGGCTGGGGAGCAGTCATGGCTGGCTGGTGTGGGCTCAGACCATGTGTCAGCAGCTTCATTTTCAATCTCAGAGCACAAATGAATGGTCTGTGTGTGAGGGAGGCTGGGCTGAAGGGTCTCCTGCTGCTTCACAGCCTGAAATCTGCTGGGGAAAACAAAACCCAACCTTAAGATTGTTGCCAAATCTCAGTGGAGGAAGGACCTACATATACATATGTATGTTATATTTATTTAAATGTTTTAGCAGAGATGTTTCAGTCTGAGGGAAAGTGGCTGATGCTTTGTGTGTGGCTGTTACCTTCTGATGCAGTATTTCCCTTTACAACTGCATATCAGGGACAGCAAGGGATTCTCCTCTTGTTCCTGGAAAATCAACAACCCTGCCTGGAGATGCAGGCTTACAGGCTTGGGAAAACCAGCTCAGAGTCAGTTTTTTCTCTTTAGGTTTTTAATTCTTATTTCTGAGTGTTGTTTTATTCAAAGGATTTTAGGCTAAAGGAAATAAAAGTATTGAAACCAGCAACGTTTTTGTTGTTTGTTTGTTTTTTAATTGGTTTGTGATTTTGGGTTTTTTTTTTTTTTTTGGTTGTTTGGGGTTGTTGTGGTGTTGGTTTTTTGTTTTGGTTTCCCATTCTGGCAAGTGGAAAAAAATTGCAATTGATTTCATCTGTGCTTAGTTTCTATTGATGCTGTTTTTTTGGTCCAGCAGATGAACCTGGAGCTAAGTAATTTGTACATGCTCTGTCCTGTGAGGTCTGAGTCAGTGAGTCCTGAGCTCGGGCAGTCAGAGCTGTGCACACCATTCCCAGTGGATTGAACCACCTCTTGTGCAACCATAGCAATATTTTCCCAGGAAATATATTGCCCAGTAGTCACTAAATAAAATGAAACATTTTTTGAAGTCTTCCAGAATGTTGAAATCAAATCTTGTCAAGGAAAAACTACTGGTTTTGTTAAAATGTTCTTTCTCAAGAAAGGAGAGGGGTGGCTTGGCTCAATCACGGGTCTGGGTTTGCCCAGAGATTGGGTTCAGATACTCAGCCAGAAACAGCTCCCTGTGGCTGATATCCCCAGAGATTTAATTTCTTTAATACCCTGGGATATTTCTCAAGAATTTTACTCATAGATATGTGAAACTTGATCTTCGTTCTTTTGCAGAATAGGAAACTACTTTGAAATCTTCTTTCTCCTCCAGCTCTGCCAGGTTCTTATCTCAGTAATTTAGGCTATATATATATATTTACACATATATAGTGTGTTTATTTTTTTCCCTATTTTGTCTCTCTGAACTAAAGGAAGCCCTTGAGCTGAGGCCAGGCATTGCCCTGGCTCTGCAGGACAGGGTTGCTGTCAGCGAGTTCGTGCTGATGCCAGGAGCAGCCCCGTGTGCAGCTGCCCTAGCCCAGCTGGGAGCAGGCAGGAAGGCCAGCAGGGCTGTTCAGGGAGCACCAGGAGCTTTTCATGTGTTTAAACTCTTGCTGGCTTTGCCATCCCAAGCTGTTACCTTCCTTTCATCTGGGGAGGATGTAGAGTTTGCACTTGGGTGCAAAGTGGTTCCCTGTGGGCGAGGGCAGAAACTGGGCAGGAAGAGGAGGTGGTGGCTCACAGGTTTTTGTTGCCTGACTTTTGCTGTATGACTGTCCCTAATCTAACCCAGATTTCATCCAAATCACTTTTTATGTGGTTTTCTATGAACTGAAGTTGTTGATTTATGTTTACTTAACACAACACTAGACCAGTGGTTACAGGCAAATGGCATCGTCCTTCTTTATGTTGCAGCATTCCTCAGTGTTTGGCTAAAGTCCAAATCCTAAAATGAGAAAGGAAAGTAAACTGTGCTGGAATAGTGTTTTCTAATTCCAGTGCCATCAAGATATCCAATCTCTAATCAGCTTCTCTGATCTACTATTCCCCCCCCCCCCCAAACCAATTCAGCTACCAAGTGATTGAAAGTGGCAGGAGTTCCCTGGTGGCTTAAGGAAATTTACAAACAGCTGTGAAATTTTTTTTAAATAGTTTTTTTATTACTTTTTTTCATTTGTCTTAGAAAGAAATATGAAATCTGCATGCAACTTCCTAAATATTTCAAACATTTAAATAGCATATGATAATTTAGCAGTACAGTACATTATACAGTGAGATAATATAGGGAGACTTCCTATAGTGTATTTACAAATGAAAAGGTAGTTTTGTTATATTAAAAAGAGGAATGCACTGCTTAACATTGAAGTATTACATTCAAAATAATGAATATGTTGTATTGTGACTAAAACATACATACGTATTTATATGTTTGCCCTATCATATTTTTCATAAAAAGGTACCTTTTAAAGGCTTTTTTTTTGTTGTTGTTGCTACAAATCTAGGAAAACATACACAATAGTCTTGAAGCTTAAGATGTCTCAGTACTGAAGCCACAAACTTCCTTTAAGTGCTTCAGGTGGAAAAAAAATACACATTTTCTTAGTAATAAAAATGAGTTAGAAATGCTTTCTAATGCATGAGAGGTTAGAAGGGAGATACAGGATGCTTTGCCTTGCAGCAGGACCTCGAGTCCATTAAAGAAGAGGTACACAAGTGATGCTCACGCTCACTTGACGAGGTGCTGAGGGACCTCACTTCTGCAGGTGCAGCCACAGCATTTTCGTGGCATCTTCCCTCACTTCTGCAGGTGCAGCCACAGCATTTCCGTGGCATCTTCCCTCACTTCTGCAGGTGCAGCCACAGCATTTCCGTGGCATCTTCCCCAGCAAACTCGTCTTTGGTCCCTGCTCTGCCTGGCTGAGGTGGAGGCTGCAAACACGAGCAGCATCCCCAGGCCACTGCCAGGGGTGAGGGCCATGGCTGTACAACACATCACAAACAGTTCTGTTTGCCTAGTGAGCTTATAAAGCTCGATTGCCATCATAGTGAAGTATGAATGAATCATAATTAAAACCAAAAAACTCCCAAAAGAACTTCTTTAAAACGAAAAGCAGGTGTTTTCCTAATTTCAGTATGGAGCAGACGGGTATGAAATCAGAAGTGCAACAGATGCTTGTGAAATCTGGAAGCCTTTTGCACACGGCTATAAAATGTAAAAACTGACCCTTGGTAAAAAGTGCTTTATAATAATATAGAATTTGTGTCTTATGTCTGCGAGAGAGAAATAATCTTCTGTAGAGCTCAGTCCTATGCCAGCCGAGGGAGTCCACTCCATTCCTTGTACCACTTCCTCTTATTCTTCATAAACCCTAAACAAAAGAAGAGCCAAGAGAAGGGTGTTTAAACTAGGAATTTAAAAACTCCATTTCAAATAGCAACAATAATAAAAAATAACGACACAAAAATAGTAAAACCACAAACCCCAGATTTTTAGCCTGTGCCTGAGTAATTTGGTCAGTAAGTGATTGACTTCAGCAGTCACCAGATTGCTACCTATATCCATAAAGGATCTGGGAGGAGTGTTGGACTTTGACACTGTCACATCGTAGAGGCATGTGGAGAGTGACAAACTCTACCACAATTATCTGAGTAAATAACATGAAGAAATCCACATCTACTAACTCACTTAAAATGCTGGAAAATCCCTATCTCATATACAAATGTTGAAGCTTATCATGAGCTGTATATAGACAATATGTTCACAATATCTGTTGTTTGCAATCGTATTACTCTGTTTAATTTTTCTACATTATTTCCTGACAGCACAACTTGATGGCCTGGGGCTGAGCATCCTTCATCATTGTGATGGCCTTATGTAAAAAAAAAAAAAAAAAAGAAACAGAAGAAGAGTGTAAATCTGTGGTTATGCAATAGCCAGGGCTTCCCCACGTGCTCTGTTTGTGAAGCAGAGGCAGGGAGCTGGCAGGAATTCAGGGAGATGCCCAGGGGCTTCTGTGCCCTGGCATGGCCTGAGGCACCACCAGGCACCTTGGGGCTGCAGGGAGAGGAGCCTGCTGCTCCCTGGCCCTGCTTGAGCTCACTTTTGGGGAGCTAATTCCCCACCAAATGAGGAGGATGAGGGTTTGAGGGGCCTGTCCTGTGCGTGGAGATTCTTTCTTGTCTGTGGCTGGACACATGGCAGGAGTCGTGCTGCTCCCCTGATTACAGATGGGGACAGACATCACCACTGGCCATCAGGAATTCATCTCTCACTCTCTATCTTCTGCCTATGACTTAGAAAAAAATCCCAACCCTATTTACAAAGGAGAAGCTGTCAGATTTTTATCAGAAAATTACAATTTTTCTGGGAAGGATATGCTAGTTAAAAGTGGCAAATACCTGCGTCATCAAGTCTTGATGAGGTCTAGGTGGTGTGATTGAAGTGTGGGACAGGGCTCCCCTTTTCTGCCTCTCCTGACTGCTTTTCTCGTGACAGTGTGAAAGTCGTTTAGCTTTTCATCTTGGATTTTTACCCGTAGAAGGGAGGTGAGTGTATGTACATAACTGAGAACATCAGCTGATGAATATTTTAACCAAAAATAATTACTATTTGTAGTCAGAACAGCCTAATGCCAAAATAGAAGCAAGAAATGCATGTGGCAGGAAATAATTAATATCAAGAACACCCATTTAAAATTGTAATTTTGGTAATGAAATGCATCTTCTGTGCTGGATGGAGCATTTGCCAGCGTGTGCATTTTCCTGTTTTTTCTATTCCTGAGCGCTGCTGGTTGCCTGACTTGTCTCCAAGAGCCTCCCCCATGCATCCAGCTGGGACTCACCTGCCTTTCTCCTTCCATACCCGGTACCACTTGAGCAGCCTCACGGTGTTCTGGCGCTTGGGGTTGAGGCAGTGCTGCTGCTCCCCCCTCACCCGTGTCCACAGGGTCACACTGCAAGGCAAGGGACAGCTCACAGGGATGTGGCAATACCCCTGCTCCCACCCCCTGCCACACAGGGTCAGGGCTTTCCACTCTGTGCTTTATGGCACAGAGATCAACTCAGATATTTTGGGTTTACATGGTGAGGTCAGAGCAGCTGTTCGCCCTCAGTGCAGGGCATTGAGGTTGTATCAGATGGAAACGTTCCTGCTGGTTTTAACCAGTGGGTTTGCTCTGCCTAAGTGTTAGATATCTTCTTCTCAGCATAATTAATTTAATTTGGGCTCATTCAGGCAACCACAAGGACTTTGCATGAGGAGACAGCTCCGTTACACTCAACAATACTTCATCCAAGAGAAATGATCAGAACTGCTCCGTTGATCTGATTATGTTTCTTATTATCTTGATCTTATTATTTATAATAAACTGATTATTTTAATTTTTTCCCCTTTAATTCTGTAGTATTTTAAATACTTGCACATGGCAGAGTGCTTGTGTGCCCAGCAGCCAAGCCCTGAGCCCCAGCATTGGCCCTGGGGGCTTCAGTCTCCTCTCATCACCACCTGATCCTGCTCTCCCTGCCACTTTGGTGTCCCCTGACTGTCAGGACCAAGCATGCTGAGAGACAAAACGTGGCAAAAGTCTTTTCATCATTTGAGGTCCCCTCCTGGAGGGCTCAGTGAGGCTGCCACAGCTGAGGTGACATGAGGGATCTGGGTCCCAACAGGACAGCGTTCCAGAAACATCAAGTCCACCCCACTTCTGGGGCTCAAAATTGAGCAGTTTTTTGGTTTTCTTATTAAAAAAAACCCAGACAATATCCAAAAAACAACCCACAATGGCAATTTGTATTAGAATGAATAATTTTCTGGAAACACCATCTATAACAGGGAAAACCAGTCATTGGTTTAACGAAAACCCCATAGTGGAATTAATTAAATGCTGCTAGAGACATGAGTATAATGATGGCAGAAATCCAGAAATACCTATGTATACTGGAGGGCTTCTTTTATGGTTTGGTTCAGAAAGGAAGACAAATGCCTTGCAGACTTTCCCATCTCACCCTCCTGGTGCCTCACAAATTAAAACATGCTGCCTGCATGAACTGAACTGAGGCTCTCACCACACTCCCAATTTCAAGGTTTTACAAGGTGTTCAAACAGGTTTTTCTATTCAATTAACCTTCCTCCCTGCTCCTCTTTTCTGCTTCATCTCCAGCTAAGGTCACGAAATATTAAGGTGTAATTTCCAGGTTGTTTTCTGGGAGGATGTGGACTTTCCCCCAATGCATGGGAAAGCAGTGGAAGAGCCTTTAATGGTTGCAGGTATCAGAAAGGGAAAGGTCAGTGCTCAAAACTATGGACTAACTCTGTTCTAAGGGTGCTCTCAACCAACTCCTAGAGAGCAGTGTGTGCTTCAGAAGGGGAGTTTTCCTGTAGCTTTGAATGCTGTGAGCTTTAAGGGATTTGAGGGCAGAGCGGGGTTTCTCCATGCAGCAGCCACCTCAGCTGTGCCATCTGCACTGGCTGATCCACTTGGCTTTCATTTCTCTCTTCTGACAGACCATGGAGGATATTTCCAGAAAGTGATGGACAAGCTGAACTGCAGGAGAGGAGCAGGAACACCTCTGAAAAGCTGCAAGCTCTGCATTTGCACCAGAAGCAGCGAAGGACACTCTGGATTTACCAGGCTGCAGTCTCAGCAGGAGGAGATCCATGCTTTGCCTCTCAGGTGAAAGGCTCTTTCCTCAGGCTAAGATGAATTGCTTTACATCACATGCAGGTTTTTTGCTTCTGTTCTGGAGGATGGACAGCAGAAATGTTCCCAAGGCAGCCCCATGGTCCTCTGCCATTCTCAGACAGTCCCTGATGGATGCAGGGTTTGGTGGCAGCAGGTTTGGCCACCCTAAGATGACCTGGGCCTGCTTTTGGGGATGCTGGTGTGACAAATGTAGGGGAATGTGCCTAAGAGGTGCTGTGGGAGCTTCTGCCTGAATGAGAAGTTACCTGGATGGGCTGCAAGAAGAGGTTGAGAGAGGTGGAGAAGGGATGAAGCACCAGAACCCACACCTCCAGTAGGATTCCTGCAGTGGGATTTGTCCCTTTGCTGCCCAGGGCTTGGTGGCTGCAGCCTTCACCCTGGTGTCTGAGTGTCCCTGTGCCAAAATTCTCCCCAGCATGTCCCTGCCTCCAGGGCTGTGATAAACACCCCAAATCAATCTGTGTCCCTGCCTCCAGGGCTGTGATAAACACCCCAAATCAATCTGTGACCCAGCACCCTGTGCCCCCTCACATCTCATCTGCAGGGATGGGGGCTGCACCTCTGCCTACACATATCCTGTCTCCAGAACCTCAGGGATCCTGGCTCTGGCCCTTTCATCCCAGGCTGCTGTGGAGCTGCCTTTCCTGCCCCTGGAGAGAGGCACTGCTGTGAGCCCATTTCCCATCAGCTCTTCTCAGCCTGACCCATCCCCACACTCTGGCATGGGGCAAAACATGGGTGGGGGTGTTTCAGAGCATTTCAAGTAGAAGGAGTTAAACTTCCCTCCTACTTTCTGCTGCTTCCCCTCATTCCAGGAAACAGATACACACAATTACTGCTGGATGTACCATGAATCTTGATAGGATTTGACTAGACTGAGGCCTCAGTTTAACTGTCTCTTACCCTGTGGCACAGCTCTGCTGGGGGATACGGCCACAACCTCCCTAACTGCACCCCCTATTTCTCATTCCAACACAATTTCTATCATGTTTCTGCTATATGAAAGCTTTCAAGGAGGGCAGAAGGGGATGCAGCTTTGACAACTTGTTTTGGATGATCACTGCAGCAACAAAAACTCAGCTGCAGGAATTTAGCTCCTCTGTGCCGTGTCCAGAGGCTCCCGGATAAATTGGTTCCCAGAATATTAATTTCAGTGCTTTCAATGCTGAGTTCAGGCTGCATCAGGAGGGCTGGAAAGGTGGTGATGGCAGTGGGTTTGCCCCACAGACACCCCCAGTGATGAGACAGAGATGGGACAGTTCTGTCCCAGCAGCTGCTGCAAACCCTGGACAAGCCTCAGCCTTGAATAGTATTGCTCAACATCTGCCCTGTCAGGCTGGAAAAGCAACTGCTCCTACAGGGCTTCCTTGCTTTCCCTGATTTCTGACTGGAAGTAAAATGTCACATTAATGAGATTTATTCCATACCCCCTGGTCACAATCTGCTTTTGGGTGAATAACTGGAGTGGGATGCCAAGAGTTAGTGTCCCTCTGTGACATCACTTTACTATTGAAGGGTCAAAGCAAACAGGCAGGGTTCTCTGCAAGAACTTTTCTGTTCAGGTCACCACCAGCAGGTTTGGGCTTCAAAGACGTGGGTCTGACATTCCCTGAGCTCAGCCTTGCTCCCAGGGATGCTGCTCTGGCTCTGCAGGAAGCCTGAGGAAGCTTGAATCTCCATTCCCTCTCCAGGAGCCCTGTGCTGAGCCTGGCAGCTCCATGTGGGCACTCCATGGTCTCTCCTGAGGTATCTGTGCCAGGTGGATGGGCAGAGGCAGCCCTGTGGGCACTGCAGGGTGCTGGGGGGTGTGCAGCCTGCACAGATCCCCTTGGGCAGCCACTGGCAAGGGTTCCATGGGGGAGCACAATGCTGGGTCCCGTCAGTCCTTAGGGTCCTGGGCTGTGGCTGATCCTGGGACAATTCTCCCCCCTCTTAGGTGGCAGGGGGCTTGGTGCAGTCCTGTTGGGTTATCTGCCCTTCTGGCTCCCACCCAGCTGCATCATGTGCTGGCTGAATGGTGCTTTGTTGGGGGAATCTTATGATATCCAAACAGGTCAGGAAAAAAGCCAAACCCACCCATATTTAAGATGTAAAAGCCCCCTCCTTTTTTAGCCAGTTATGTAAAAAAATCCCTGTACCTGCCTCAGCTTGGTTACCCACTACATCAGCTTGAGATTTTACATCAGCATTGGTCCTGACTTGCAGGACACTGCGATGAAAGAATTTTATTACATGCTGAATAACCCCAGCAGGTGAAGGAGATCCCTCTGGTACAATGCAGGCTGGGGTAACTCTTCCTTTCAGAAACCACCACGGACCAAACTGCTCATGTTTATTCTGCATGCTCAAAATAACTTGAGTAAATAGTTCTGAGTGTTGTATCAGGCAGCTTGGAGTAGAATTTTCCCCTATTCTCGCTTGAACTAATGATAATCTTTTTACTGCTTCCCATTCTGGAAATACTTATTTGACAAAAAAAGAAAAAAAATTGTGCCAAAAAATGATACCTGTGATTTTGGTCAGAATTGCCCTTTTTTTTTTTTTTTTTATCTGATACAGCAAATTACTATGCCCAGGAATTAGCATGCCAGGGCATGAGGAAAACAAAGAACAAAGAAGGAACTTGCAGATAAGGTGAAGCAGTTCAGCTGACAGGGAAACAGAAAGGAATAAATGAAGGAAAACTTACATAATCATCTCTTCCACGCAAAACGGGTACCTCGGTTTTATTTCCAGCTTCCGTACATTAGAGAATCTTATTTTAGGACCTTTTCTTGAGCATTTGCACTTCACGCCTACAAGAGAAAGCATTTTCTCATGCGCCTGCAAAGCTTCCTGCATACCAAGCGTCCCTTCCCCTCCAGGAAAACTTCAGTTTGCTCTTTCAAGCCTTGCTGGGAAAAGATGAATTTTTTTTAATGCTGTTGAGCTTAAAAAGATATTTTTTTTTCCTTTGGTATATCCCAGAAAAAGGTAGTGACTCTCTGGGAAATATATTTTAGAGCACTACATATGCTCTGGGACTTTGTAAATAGCAGATTTTTTTAAAGTGCACCTGCTGTGATTAAATATAATTGTATTTAACAAAAGGAAATGAAAGAATCAGAACTTGCTTTAAACTGAGCAAGCAAGTGCATGTCTGGGCTACTTTCTCATTCACTTGTGTCTCACTTGGAGTTTGTAGGACTGAGTCATTTCTCCTTGCATGGATGCTGTGGTGCAGTCATAGCCAGACAAAAGCTGAGCATTTTTTACCCATCATTTTTGTGCACAGCAGAAAACGCAGACTGTGCCACCACCTCACATCCAGCTCTGCTCTAATTGCCCTGAAAACCACGCTCAGTTTCAAAGGAGATGCTTGAGCTCTATTCCTGAATAACGAGGAACATGGCACGACCTGCCCCACTGCGAGTTCTTTGCCTTGCGCTGAAGACACAAATGAAGACACAACTTCATCCCTTGTATTTTACCTCTCCTCCACCTTTACATAACTTGCAGCTCCCTTACTCACAGATTCCACAAATCACACCTTTCCACCGTGCAAGGATAGCCCAGCCCAAGCCAGGGCTATCAAGACACAAACACAAATTACCGGAGAAGAGATTTACACGGGAATAAGCAGAACAAACCACTTTACCTTCCGCGCTGGCTAAGCACATCGCGATGAAGAGCAGGAGCAGAGCTGCTGTCAGGAGCTTCATTGTGAGACAGCAGGTACCCGAGGAGACGCCGGGGGGTCGGTGTGTGTGTGTGTTCGCCCGGGCTTCGTGCCCCGATGCCGCTGTCCCGGGGCTGGGTGGCCAGGGAGGGGACGGCGGAGCGGCTCCCGGCGGAGCGGCTGCCGGCGCTGCCTGCGCTCTGCCGCTGCCTTCTCCTCCTTTAAAGCGCTTCCCGCTGCCCTCGCTCCCGGCTCATTAATATGCAGAGCAACTCCACGGCTCCCTCCGCTTCCTCAGCCCGCCGGGGAGGGGGGGACCGGCACCCCGGGGGGAACATCCCCCATCCCCGCCCCGAGCATCCCGTGGGGAGCGCAGGCGGTGGGGCGGCTGCTGCTGCCCCTGCCCAGCTGGGACCTTCCCCATCAGCGGAGGGTTGCTGGGGAGGGTGATGTGTGCATTTGTATGAATGGGGCTGAGAGCTGGAAACCATCCGCTTGTGAGCGCTCCAGGGATGCCCGCGCTCCGCGGAAATTCCCATGCACCTTGGAAATAAGATTTGGAGAACTCTCACCTGGGAAGGGTGTCACCTTTTGCCACAGATTGACTTAAATGTTAATTTTTCTAGCTTTAGCAGGCTTCTAAATCTAAAGGAAAGTTCAGTGAATCAAATCGGGAAAAGTGTTCCTAAAAGCGTTGTTAGGTGTGTTTAGCATGTGTAAGATTTTAGGAAATAAGCTGGGTTTATTGTTGCTTTAATGAACACTCGAACAATATTCTGTTCCGTGAAGAACAGGGTAGCAACACGCGGGAACTTCATGGATGTAAATAGATATTCTTCCTCCCTTGCAGAGTCTGTTTCTGATTTCAGAAACAGCTAAAAGAGCATCTTCAAATCCAGATTCCAGATTTTTGTCTAAATGAAACGGGTGGAGATCAGAGTGGGGTCTAATCGCCTTCACAGCAGTGCGCTCCAAACACGCCGCAGCCAAGCGCCCCTGCGGCCCCGCTCCCAGCCCCGCTGCCCGGCTCCCGCCCGCACTCGCATCCCCGTTACTGGAGCCGCCCGAAGCCAGCCCCGCTGCCAGCCCGGGCAGCGCTCGGGGAGGACTCGCCACGCACTCCCAGCTCCACTTGCATTTTAAGTTTCCCACATGGCTCGGTTCCTGCCGGCTCCCATTGGCAGCGGCCATCCCGCTGCGTTCCCGGCCCGGGTGTTGGCAGGCTGCGAGTACAGCCCTACCACACACAGCCTGCACGTTGCGCGCAGGCAGCTGCAGCCTTCTGGCCCTGGCTCCCATGCGGGACGTGCCGACATGCCGGGAACAGCCCGCCCGCTCTGCCCTGCCCGCTCTGCCCGCCCTGCCCGCTCTGCCCTGCCTGCCCTGCCCGCTCTGCCCTGCTCTGCCTGCTCGCACTGTCCGCTCTGCCCCCTCTGCCCGCTCTGCCCGCTCTGCCCGTTCTGCCCTCTCTGCTCTGCCCTGCCCGCTCTGCCCTGCTCTGCCCTGCTCTGCCTGCTCGCACTGTCCGCTCTGCCCGCTCTGCCCTGCCTGCCCTGCCTGCTCTGCCCTGCCCGCCCTGCCCTGCCCGCTCTGCCCTGCTCTGCCCTGCTCTGCCTGCTCGCACTGTCTGCTCTGCCCGCTCTGCCCTGCCTGCCCTGCCCGCTCTGCCCTGCCCGCTCTGCCCGCTCTGCCCTGCTCTGCCTGCTCGCACTGCCCGCTCTGCCCTCTCCGCTCTGCCCTGCCTGCTCTGCCCTGTCCTGCCTTCTCGCACTGCCCTCTCTGCCCTACCCTGCCCTGCCCTGCCCTGCCCGCCCTGCCCTGCCTTTGCCCTGCCCTGCCCTGCCTTTGCCCTGCCTTTGTCCTGCCTTTGCCCTGCCCTGCCCTGCCTTTGTCCTGCCTTTGCCCTGCCCTGCCCTGCCTTTGCCCTGCCCTGCCCTGCCTTTGCCCTGCCCTGTCCTGCCCTACCCTGCCTTTGCCCTGCCTTTGTCCTGCCTTTGCCCTGCCTTTGTCCTGCCTTTGCCCTGCCCTGCCCTGCCTTTGCCCTGCCTGCCGTGGGGGAGCGCCGGGGGCTGCACATCGGGGACAAGGCTGGGGGCACTGGCTGACGTGGCACGGAGCTTTTGGGGTGAAAGACCTGTTTCAGGGTTGAGAGGCTGCTGCTGGTGCAGTGGAGAGGAGGGAGAAGGGATGATATAGTTTCTGTTGTGCTTTTGGTATTTTTGCTGCACAACTCTAGCCCAGCTCCAGTGACTCTCACTGTTTCCTGCCAGGAATGGTTTGGTTATTAAATGCCAATAGGATTCAAGACAGAGGTTTGTTCCAGAGCCTGGGATGAAAACAGGCAGCTGATGTATGCAAGGTCTCAGTTCAAACCTTTCAAATAAATTCTCAATTTCTTACACAAAAAACCCAAAAAACAAGTAAACAAAAAAAACCCTCCACAAAACCCCAAGGAGAATGTAAAAGGCTTTTTTCAGAATACTATCAGCTGTGGTGAAGATGCTCATTGGGCACGGGGGAGAATTGGCTGAAAAGCACCCACGTCCAGAGCTGATATCCTTCCCTGCTGCATCTTAGGGTAATTCCCTCCTTGCAGCTTTCTCTGCACTGTGTGCAGGAACAGCCTCAGGGAGAGCTGTGGTAAGGAAAAATCTTTTTCCCTCCCCCTCTGCTAATAAGAATTTGGGTGCAGCTTTAGCTGACGGCAATTTGAACTTTCCCCAAACCTGGGAACTCATGTACAGGCTGGAAACAAATTAAAGGAAATTCTCGTGCTTTCCACAAGTGAATCCCATTTTCTTCTATGACTCTTCTCATGCTGAAAGAGCCAAGTTTATTAAGTATGGAGTAAGGAAACTGCTGTTTTAGTTCCAAATTTCATGTAGAAATGGATGTATTTGAGGTGTGTGTACACATATGGTGACTCTCACCGTGTGCCCAAGCAGGTCAGTGTGTTTATGCCAGGCACTGTTTTTGACAGTAATTGTTTTTGAGAGCTCAAAGGTGCCTCTTGCCTGGCGTGACAGATTTCTGTGGCCATGTACAGCTTTCTCTGACACCTGCTCTGTCTTAAAATGACAGCCACAGAAGAATTTTTAGTAAATGATTTGAGTAAAAAGAAACAGATATGGAATTCACTACAGTCCTGTCCCAAAAGAAACTCTGATAATTCAGATACATTTTCTTGATGCAATCATAAGCTGAGTTGCTCAGCATACACTGGGGTGCCTGGGGTATCTCCAGCAGATCTGCTAAGCCCTACAAATGTGTTTTGATGAGCAGCCAGTGCTCCACAGGCTGTGGGGGGCTGGCCAGGTGAGCACAGGGCAAGCGGCTGAAGCATCCCTTTCAGACCTCACAAAGCCACCCAGGCACAGAGTAATTGATCAGGGCATGGGTTTTGCCCCACACAAAGGAAGTGTTTCAGAGCAGACACAGTCAGCAGGGTCCTGCTGTTGTCCTCAGCTCTGCAGATGGGCCATGCTCAGAGAGCCATGTGTCCCCAGGGGAGCATCACTGTACCTGTGCACAGAGCGTGTCACCTGCTCATCTGGCTAATTACAGGGGCATTGTTGCTGCTGAAAGGACTCTCATTTCATCTCATACTCTGATCTTTTCAGGTCTCTGCCCCAGCGTAAGGCTGTCTAGTAAACCAAGGCTGAAGCCTGGCTTTGCCTGTGAGGGTGAGACCCAGAGGGACCAGAGGTGATTTGTCACCCTGGAAGGGTGATTTGCAAAATGGAGGGCAGGGATGAGTGGTTGTCTCCTCCTAAATAAGAAAGAAGAGTTTTAGCAAAGGGACTACCATTTGAAGCAAAATCCTCACCATTTTTATCCACCTGGAGGCTGGAATCATACATTGTTGAGCGCAATGTGTAGCTGAGCTGGAGCAGAATATTTGTGCTTGTAGACACAGGGACAACCCCCAAATGCACACTGCCCTTTGAAGGGGAGCTACTGGAATGGGGCAGTTCACTCCCACAATAAATAGCTGTGGTGGCAAAATGGGAGGGCTCCATAAGAGCTGTTAAATCTGCCAGGGCAAGGACATTTGTGTCTTTGTGCTCAAACAAGATTGGGTGGGATCCATGCCCTGACCTGACCTTAGGTGAGGCTTTTCCTCCTTCTGTGAAGGTACAAAACTTCCTGAGCCAGCACACACAGTGTCCTTTAGGTGCTCATCTGCATCCCAGGGAGCAGGATATGCACTATTACAGTCATCCCCATGGTTAGAAATGTTTCAGTATTCAGCTGGCTTTGGATATGCTGGTTATTTCAAGCACAGGGCAATCTATGACTTGGATTAACTGTCCTTCCAAATACCATAGTGTATCATAGAGGGGAGATGAAGGGGAGAAATCTTTGCAAAATGGCCGTGAAAACTGAAGGCAAACTGTGAATGGCTCATCTGAGTTTAATGTCTAAGAATATCCCTATCAGCTCGTCAAGGAGAAGATTAAACATTAGAAGTGAAGTGGCAAAATCCCTGCATATCATGTCAGGAATTTGGAGGAGGAATTAAATACTCACTAGAAATTTCAGAAATTAAGGTGGAGGTGTACAGATGTGATGCATGTTGTATGCATTTTTTTCCTGGGTGCTGCACTTCCTTTTTTATGCTTTTTTGGTGTTGTAACCATGCTGTATGAGACCTCAGCCCTTGCAACAAAGGAAATATAAAACTCGATTCCAAGCTTGAAGTCAGGGGTGAATTGCCTCAGATTTTGGGAGGCTGTTGCAAGCCTGCTCCCATTGTGCTGAGCTTAGAGGAGGATGTGTTGCAGCCTGTGGTCAAGCCCATGTTTTCACCTCTAGCTCTAAATGACATTTTTCTTTCCTCAATAGCCTGAACAGTAGTTGTGTCATCCTTGCATGTATTTATCTATCATAAGTTGAAAGGCAAAGCTTTGGATTTCATCTTTGGTCTCTTGAAACATGAAACATATTTCAGGGAAAACAGCTGTGTTCCCTTCTGTGGAGTTTCACAACGGATGAATTCTGCAAAATAAGGCTTGTATTGTTGTTGCAGTCACTGTGTTCTTTTGATATTTTATTTTTATTTTTATTTCCATAATGAGATTAAATTCTAGACACTAGTTCTTCCCTTGGGAATAGTTTTAAGACAGCTCTCTTCCTAAACCTAAATTATTCACCAAGGAGGATTTTTTGCTGAGATGAGAACAAGGAGGTTGGATCTGGGACTGTTGTCA